CCCCCCAAAAAAAAAAAAAAAAAACATTCTTACCAAACCATCACAGTTAGGTTACAGATGTTTTCTTACCAATACGCTGCCCGCGGTGCATCTTACTGACGATCCATATTCCTGCAAAGGCTTCCGCTTCACTCAGGTTAAATCCCATTACAACACCTGTAAACCATAAGACACCACTCTGCATTTTTTAACAAAAATTACCATCATCATTATTAGAAAATAGTCTGATGTGATGCAATTTTTCATTTCACACATTATTTAAAAGGAAAGAAAACAATCCCCAACAGTCAAGGAAACTATGTTTAAGAACATTTTCGCTCACTGATAAAGCTATTTACTAATCTTAGTCGCATAAATACAATTTTACTTGTCATTTCACTAAAACGTCAGAAAATGTCTGTTACCTGTTATGCATTATTAAAGTCTGGTGTTGATTTTGGTGTTTAGCATCATGTAAAAATGCATCCACTGACAACTTATTTTGTGCATCATTATTTGTCTCACTGGCGTGACACAGTTATTGTTGAATTGTACAATTGAGACTTATTTCTGTTGGTGCATATATGCATACATATATATATGTAGGCAAAAGCTGCGTACATATTGCTGACATATTAGTTTTACGCAATGCGATATATCTATCCAGTACTCCGATTTTCAATTTACGTGTTCGAATTTAAGATATAATATTGAGAGACCAATATTTAAAATACAAAATAATAACCAAACATTATCTTATGCCGACTTTTAAATGGTAACTTTATCAATAATTTGCAAGGAAATATCTTTTATAAAGCTGTACAGAGAAGTGGGGAAAGCAGACCTCTGCCGAGGGAGCTTAGTTCTCATAACTGATCATTAATTAATGGATTGCTACTAGAATACCATCGACTCCAAGGCAGCCTGAAGATACTTTTTAACAAAATCCATCCATATCTGTAAGCTAACACACCAACAAAGACAAAATCACATCTTAAAAAAAAGTGACCAAAGGAGGGGTGGCATGAACTCCCATAATTCATCATTCTATTTAGTTACAACGCATTTCGGTATATATTCTGGGCACATCAACATTATTTATTTTTAGATTTTTTTAAAAATCATATTTCTTTGTAAAAATTAAAACACGTAAGATCTGAGGATGGAGAAGTGAGTCAGTTCTAACACACAGAAAACACAGAGTACATGAGAGAGAAGTCCCCTAAAGAACATACTTAATAAAATCTAAGTAAGGAATATTAAATTGCTAGTCTTGCAGTTTTATTTTCAAATCCTGCCAGCGCTCTTATTGCACAAAGAGAAATAACATAAATATAAATAACATAACATTTACCATTGTATGCATAATTTGTCCAATATAATATTATATATTAAAATTTTTGATGCAACCATATGCACCAAAATGAAAAATTAAAGCAACAACTTAAAATATATCATTAAAATAGTAACAAAAATTAACAACTGGGATAAAAGATATTGAAAATGTCCAAATGAAACACATAAAAATTATTGATGCTGACTAGGAATTGGAATCATTTCAAAATACAATACAAAATTTGTTTGAGTATACATGAAGGGCATACTGGGAAGTATTGTTGCTAAAACTAACATAAAACCTAACAAGTTTGTATCAATATCTCACAATAAATTACTACATTTTAAATAATGTAAAAGTGTTGTTAATTTTAATTCCTAAAGCAAATTTGTATCAATATCTCACAATAAATTACTACATTTTAAATAATGTAAGGTGTTGTTAATTTCAATTCCTAAAGGTACCCAAAGACCTTTGGCAATAGATGGCAGCAGTCACTGGTCATGTGCAAGACAACTCTAATCCAGCCACTGTTCAATACACTTTTCAAAGACATCTTTATTGCCATGCCAATGAGTGTGCTTAACACCAGGGATAACATACTTATGCAATGATCCTCTTTTGTTCAGGGTTTGAAGACCAAATGAGTCCTTGATATAATACTGGAATAAAAAGTTCAAACATGTATTTTGATATAAATATATTTATTAAAAGCTCACACAACATATTTTCTTCATAAATTAGTTTTTTTGGTGCAATTTAGTAAAATTTTGCTAGTAAATTAGAGTCTGCACTAAAAGTGGTGAAGAGCTTATAGAATATATTTTCACAGCACATTTGTTATAAGTAGGGGATTTTTTCCACTAAAAACAAATACATGTACACACCTCTTGGTTGACCATTTCTTTTACATTTTCATTTTCATCATACGTTCCAAAGTGACTGGAAATAGGAAGAAAAACATTAATAATAATAAAAAAAGTGTTAAGTTTATGGTCCTTGCATTTTGATAGGATTAACAGCCTTTTGCATGTTGCAGGCACTGGACTATTTTTAAAAAATGAAGCTTTACACTCCACCCCTTTGACCAAGATATAACTGGCCTTATACTATTCACCATGGCAGATGTGAAGAAAAAAAATTAAGATAAGGTGTATCTCTCATTGAAATACTCTATGCATGAATGCAAGCTACACCACATCCAAATGTCTCACATGTGACATCTGCCAAACATGCACCCTTGTAGCAGAGGTCAAATGTACTTTTACTGTACCAGGGTATATCATATACTTGAACACCATCTTTCCTTAGGCTGTATTGACAAATTATACACACAAACAGAAAGAAACTGGTTGTTCACTAATTCTAGTTCCCCCCTCCTCCCCAAGATTTCAGAGGCTCCTGGAAGCTCACTTCTCTACCATCAACATCTCTACCACTTTCAGTTTCTAGAGCCTCTGAAAATCAGGTTGATAGACAGTGAACAGCACATTAATTAATTTTGGACATCTTACCTAGACTGCCATGGTGTGATCACCCCATCATCTGGACCACCAATCATGATGAGGTTTTTTATTTTTAGGAAGTTGTTCTTGAAAGCTAAAAATAACAATAGGGATGGATGAAGATCCATCAAACAATCTTATGTTTCATTGTTGTGTTTCACACAAACACGCACACACTTTCACGTTTTTATACCAAGATTTTCTTTTGATCGACTTCACCGTGCAAAACTTTTTCCACAATATATATATAGAAGGAAACCTGTGATTAAAAAACTATTCAAAATTTAAATTTAAAATTAAAAGGAAAACAAGTTACCACTGCTGTAAGGATTGGCTGTCTGATTGTTCAACTGTGCAAGGAAAACCTTTAAGGCAGGTTTTTTGAAGAGGTCCAAATGATGTGGATCTGAAATACAACAGAAGACAGACTAGTCAATCAAGGACACTCTCATGATTTATATGGGAAAAAAATTCAAAAAAATAAATAAAATGATAAGTTAAATTAGATCTTTGTCAGTAAACATATTTTACTTTTTCCTAATTAATTGTTAGTACAGTGACATCAAATACAATTACTTTAAGAAAGTTAACTGGAAAGGGTCCCTACTTCCTCTGAATGAACAAGATTGATATGATATTTACTTACCGTACCAATAATCTCCTACAGACACATTCTGTCCAACAGAGGTATAGAAAACCCTAAAAATATAACAAATAAATTTTATCATAAAATGCCAACCCATTAAATAAATTATTTTGACATGGGCCTTGTACCCTATTATATTTTCAGCAATTTTAAACATAAACTACGTTCAATTATTTGTATTATTTAAAATTATCTTTCAGAAACTATATCCTGCTTTATGCTTGCTATTTCTACAACAAAACCAAATCCTTAAGCTGACTAAACTGGGATTTTCACTTTAACATTAAAATACATCCATCACAACCAAAACAAACATTACAAACAAACAAACAAACAAACAAACAAACAAACAAAGAAAGAAAATACTCGTATAAATATTCCCGGCTAACTGCAGGAATAAATGGCTTTAGCATGGAAGGCACTGCAAGAAAATAGGATGGTTATTACATTTTACTTTATATCAATAGGACAGTCATTTAATTTTATTTAACATCAATGAGTTGGTCGTAACATTCAATTTAATTACAATGGGAAGGTAATAACATTTTATTTGATATCTATGGGATGTACGGAACATTTTACTTATCATCACTAACAGTTTAATATTGACATTCCTTAAAGGCATCTTTGATGGTATGGAGACAACATTCAATTTTAATTCTAATGTACAAAGTAAACAAAGTGAAAGATACTAGTTTCACCAACTGAAGATTACTGAGATATTCAATAGCTAGTGAGCCATTAATTAAATATTTAATCACTTAGCCTTAGTAAATACCTCCAAATTGTCCCCCCTGAGGAGAGCTGAGGGATATGAAATTATAAACATTGTGGGAAGGCAAAGTTTCTAGCACCCCGCGACATACAAGGCCTCCTGAAATATAAATAAATTAATTAATAAATAAACAGACTATGACAAATAACAGGTGTGTGGTGAGGTTTTGTCATGACCCAAATGAAGGCAAAAGGTGAAGACACCTGGTGCACTGTTGGACATATCAGTAACCCCACCAACCATGAGGGGTTAGAGACTGATTAGATTAGATAAAATTTGATAAGATAAGAGAGCACCGACATAAAAAAATTCTTCCAATTCTGGAAAAAACATATAGTTATTATAATATTTTAGTTATAAATATTTTGTGATAAAATTTGCCTGACAGAGAATTATTAGAAAACCAGGTCAAAAATCAAATACCTGAGCAATGCGTATGACAATGAAAGAGGAAAATGATGAAGGTAAGACTAAGATATTTCAGCACATCATAAAAATGGCCACAGTGTCACTTTGGATGATAGTTAAAGACGACCTTTGCCTAAAATCATTCATCGAAGTAAGAAAGAAGATCTTGGTTTTATCTTTTTTGTACATGATATCTTCATTGTCATAGTTGATCTGGTTGTTAGTTAGGTGGATGGAAAATTCCCATATCAATGAGAGAAAAATTTACAAGGAATTTATTTTCCTGAAAAGAAAAAAATGGGAAGAAAGAAAGAAAGTGCATTTCATCCAATGTAACATAATTAAAAATGGGCAACTCCTAAAAAATGGGAATATATATATATATATATATATATATATATATATATATATATATATATATATATATATAGAAGAGAACCAAAACAGGAAGTGACTAACAAATTCACAAGGTTGTTTCACAACTGTGACTGGTTTTCAAGAAAAAAATCACCTTAATTTTGCTCTTACAAACTGAAGGAGGATGCTCTATGTAAAATATTAATCTTGAAAACTGTGAATCTAGTGCATTGTGCAGTCACATTGAAAATTGGGTAATTTATCAACTGGTAATGACATTTAACACTACATATTACAATAAGAAAATTTCTTAAAAGAAACTTCCTTCTTGAGAAAATGGGAAAAAAAGGAAAGTGCATTCCATCAAATGTAAATAAAAATGGGCAACTCCTTAAAATGGGAATATCTAATAGAAGAGAACTGAAAGAGGAAGTGACTCACTAATTCACAAGGTTGTTTCATAACTGTGAGTGACTGACTTTCAAGAAAAATTTCAATTTGCTCTTACAAAGTGAAAGAGGAAGCTCTACAGACTACACAAAATCATTTATTTACTTAATGCAACCATGAGGACAAATTGGGTACTAGTTACTCAAGTGACCAGTAATAACATTCAACACTGCATATTACAATAAGAAAATTTCTAAAAAGAAAGATAAACTTCCTCAATGAGAATGCATGACAAAAAAAATTGAAAGAAGTTGACACCTGATTTTACACCAGCAAAACTTTCTGTATAAAGATAAATAATTACATTTGCTTGCAGCAATAATAGTCAAGCCGTCAGAACACTCAGCCAAACTACATCAAAATGGCACTTTCTTTTTAAGACAGTCACATTCAGCATAATCAAAAATTGAATATGGCATGAAGATACTACAGAAAAACAAAGTTATAGACTATTGTGTTTTATTGTGTATATACAGTGTACTTGTCAAAGTGTTCATTTTGCCAGTACATGCTGGTGAATGTATAAGTTGTAATAAAGCATGAAAATATTTATATTCTTCACGAATCTAAAAAGTAAAATGTCATTCTACATACATATACACAAATAAATAAATAATTAAATACTATACATATTTTTAAAAAATCACCTTGAGAGAAGCAGATCAAGTGGACCCCCTGTGGGTTGGCATCCATTATTTTCTTCATTATTGGGGCAACTATTCTGACCTGTTTCCCCATGGGCTCCAAGCTGAGCAGATCGTTAAAGGCATCTATATTGTAGGTTTCTGTTCCTGGGTGAGCCTGGCATGAGGATTAAAGCACACTTTTAAAATACAGTGGCATAACATGGAAACATTTTGGAGTTGGAAAATCTGTTTGAGTCAATTGAAGATTCAAGTTTGGTAATATTTTGATTTTCATTTCAGGTAATACCAAAGAAAAATATTTGTCCCACAGGTTTTGTTATAAAAAAGATCATTTGGGTAAAAGATCAGATAAGTCTGCTATACATATACATCAAAATAAAAGCACTATGCGGACCTGTCAATGCAACTACACAGCAAGTTTTCTCCTTTTCTTTCACTAAGTAAGTTAATAAATTAATAAATAAAAGAATAAATATATAAATAGCTTTAAATTCACATAAGAATCAAGAGGCATTCATATTGTTTATTAGTCTCAACATCAATATCCAGTTTGCAATTAATGCAAGAAATTGTACCTAAAAAATAATAATGATAACAAAGCTTTTTTCAAATTAAATCAAAGTACACTGTACCTATTATGTTCTCTAATTATTTTTCACATCTTAATAATTGACCTATTTTTTTTTCTTTTTGTTGGAAATTATGTTGGCAAAAAGTTCATCTTAACATATCATAAATAAAAGAAAATGTGCCAATGGTCAAATAGCTGCCAATCACATTTTGGCAATGACATAACTTCATCCCTCCAGATATACAGTCTTATCTGATGCCTTGTCTATCCAAACAATGTCACTTTTATATCTGGGTTCTCTTTGATATATTAGATGTTTCGACTACATAAATACTAGTAGGTTGAGGAATTTCTCATCCAAGTGTTGTAAGAAGGGGGGGGGGGGGGAATCAGCATAGGATAGCCACATGTAACTATAATGAAGGAAATCTAGTAATTTTTTTTCTTTTTAAATGAATGATAAAATATTTGGTTAGAAAATATCCCATTTCTCATCAATCTGAATCTTACTACCATATTATTGCATTACACGAAACACTACAAATTACATAAATTTACAAGTGGCAAATGCTTTAAAAAAGGTCATCACAATTTTTGTACTCCATAAAGTACTGTTATTCCATCAACTACTCCAAAAACTGACATAGTTATGAAAATGGCTAGTGAAAACAGTATCATCTGAGTTACTGTTGATCCGTCATGAATGATGACATTTATAAAGCTGATAAAAGCCGTGATTAGAGTTATGTTAGGTATACTTTGCGGTATACTTTAACAATAAAATCTATACTGGCATGCTTTGACAGATAAACAAATTTTAATTAATTATCAATTGTATCTGCTCAAACAGGAACTTCAAGGTGGAATTACACATTTTAGCTGTTGAAATTAATATATGCACCAGTAATACAGTATTAGTATTAGTAATACAGTAATATAATATTAATTGACAGGAATTTATATAAAACAGCCTAGCTGCAGACATTATTTGGAACAGGATTTGTACATGTACACTTTCACTTACAATTTGTGTTTAGTAACAGTATTACACTAAATAATACAGACAAAGCCAGACTACATTTTTATTTTGTAATTTTAATTTAAAAATTTGGAATTGGCTTTCTTGTATGGCTGTACTTAATGGCAAGTATCAATGTGACAGGGATAGATGACATCTGCAGTTCATTGTTCAATATTCATATTTACGGTAGTCTTTGGAGTCCACATTTGACTGTTGAAGAGCAAGGGTGGAATAAAACAAATTTAGTGACAATAAAATTGGACAATGAATTTATGGTGCAGGTCAAATGATGTTATCAAACTGAATTAAGCAACACGTTTACAGTGATAAAAGCCTGGCAAGCATAACGACGAGATCCATTACTACATGTACAACCTAACTGTATCTGTACTAACTTGTAACAGTGATACAGTTGATAACGACTGGCGTCATTTTCAAGTTTAGTCAGCTTTTAGACATAAAAACAAAACACTTACCTTCTTAATAAATGCTTTCAGGTCATTTAAATCTCTTTGGGATGAAAGAATGCCGTGCATCAATATGACAGGTTTATAACTTTCGCTCACCCCATACTGAAGGAAAAAAAGAAATAAAGAAAAAAGAAAAACGTCGGGCATTCCGCCGACTTTCGACTGCTACTGCTACCTCCTAACGTAGAATTTTCACAAGGGATGACGACTTCGAAGTCTCACCCCTTTCGGTAAATAATATAAATGTTGAAGTCCTATTTTGATACGAGAGCGAAACTTTGCACCCCATTTTATATATACCGCTAGAGATGAAAGTCCCCACGTGGATTCTTATCATGTAAAAGCGGTCAGAGTTCACGCTACTGTGTTTGTCAGTGGCCTTTCTTGCGGTAAATTGTAGGTCATGTAAATAAGAAGTCGATGGCTTCTCCAAAAAGTCAGTGTTAGATATCCGTATATTTGCGAAATCCAAGCTAAATACAGCGATTTTGGCATCTATTGACTAGGAAATTCATTTCATTTTAAGTTTTGAAAAATTATGGTGTGTTTCTTTTTTTTAACAATAGCCGCTTTGATTTAAACATTGGTGTGGCGATGTGCTATCACAACTAGCACAATCCAAAGCGTTTCTCCATTATCCTGCGTGAGACTTGAGAAAAGTGAATGCTGTTGAAAAGGCGAAACTACAAATGTATAACAATTTTGTTATTAGCACATCTAGTTGGGGGGAAAATCCCCAGACTGCTTTGTTTTATGCTGCAAGAAAAAAAGTAAATAAATAAATATATAAATAAATAATAAAATAAAAATAATAAATAAAATTGCTTGTACAATTTATATTTTGGTAAAACGACCTGACAATGCTGTAAAAATATTAAAAATAAAATAAAATCTCCCTGTAGTTATTTAAAATAGTTTTATTACGATGCGGAAGTAGTAAGTGGTAACCCTGTAGGGCATCATACAAGCTGTGAACTTTAGGAGCTGTATACATGCACTTGGATTTTGTGGTTTCCTCTGCTTAAATTTGTTTTATTTTACTTGTACAAAGAATGCTAGGGTAAACTGTATATTTTCACTTAACAATTGTAATAAAGTTGAAAATACTTAATTAAAATTAGATATTCTTCATTTTGAAACTATTTTATTAGTTAAACTTTCTCAATAAAAGCTTGGTTAAATATGGCATCAGTATTTCATTTTATTGCTTTAATTTAAATCAGTGATAATACAGTATTTAAAGCATCTCTCTTCATGAAGACTCCTGCTAGAATTCGGTTAAAATGGTACATAAAACCTTGCAGTATATCAATCACATTAAATATCTAAAAGCAAATAAAGAAACGTAAATCGCATGGCTACTACCAGTTGATATTGGTAATTATTAGAGCAAATATGTAAAAATATTAATGTTAAAACTTTTGCTGAGCCTACATGTACTAGTAGCAGTATTGCATTTGTATCATGCTATGGCTTTAATAAATAATTACCTGCACTGTGTAATAAAAGATATATTGCACAGATTTTTAATGTAAGTAAGATCTTCAATTTTACATTGCACACTGCAGACTGAAATTAAGGAATCCCAGCAACAGATGGCACTAGTCAGTATAGTCACATGCAAGATAGCACTAATCCAGCCACTTTTCCATGTAGGTTTTAAAGACATTTTGGTTGTGGGGCCAATGAGTGTGCTTTACCCCAGGGATGATGTACTTCTGCAATGCTCCCCTATTGGCTAGGGTCTTGAGGCCAAATGAATCCTTGACAAAATACTGGAATAAATAATTTCTGTTCAATGAAAAGTAAATCTGTAAATGTTAAACAATATTTCAGTCAGACTAGAAAATATATGTTCCTGTTGCCAGAAGTTATGAAAATCTGACGAAATGATTGACAACATATATACTGTTCTGCCCACAGATGGAACAATTTTCAACTTAAGCAGCTCAAGTATGTGTACGTACCTCTTGTTCTTCCATTTCCTTAATTTTTCCTTTTTCATCAAATGAACCAAAGTGACTGGAAATAAAATAAACAATTGTCTTTTTGGAATTTGTTAAGTAAGAGAAGAAGAAGAAATTAGTGTAATGTTATACAAGTTAACCATCATTAAATGGAAAGAAATTTGGTTTCTCCTGTGCACAATTTGATTGGTCCTATACTTGAATAACAGACTGCACTGGGAGCATATGTATTGCCTGTACAGATGAAGGCACCTTGAGTTACAAGATTAAATTAACTGGAAACAGCTAAGACATGTTTCCAGTTAAGTTTCTAGGAACATCTTAACTCAGGGTGATAGACGGTAAATGGTTTATTAATTAATTTTGGACATCATGCTTACCTAGACTGCCATGGTGTGATCACCCCATCATCTGGACCACCAATCATGATTAGGTTTTTTATCTTTAGGAAGTTGTTCTTGAAAGCTGAAAATAACCACAGGGGTGGATGACAGTATTTAATGCACAATCTGTATATAATATGCCATTTTTATGCATTTTATGAACAATCAGTGGCGGATTTAGGGGAGGGGGGGTCAGGGGGGGCGGTTTTGCATCGGAGGACCCCCCCTTCAAATAATCCTGGATCCACCCCTGAACAATATTACATGTTTTTGACTGAATTTTTTGACTGACTCAGATCCACAAGCATACTATCTCTCCCTTAAATGTAAAGATGGAAAGTATGTGATATAATTATTATTTCAGTAATAATAATTATACTTTTAAATTATTTAATTAGAAAAGATAACAAATACATAAACAGGATTTTACCATTGCCTTGAGGATTGGGAGCCTGGTTGTTCAACTGAGCAAGAAAAACCTTCAAGGAAGGTTGCTTGAAGAGGTCCAAATGATAAGGATCTGAAGACAGAAAGACAAAAACTCTGAACCTTTTGTATATTTATTTGTATATGTAATTTTCTATGTGGTAAGTAAGTAATTGATAAGAAAAATGTTATATGGTTGCAACCTAACTTCACAATAAAAGAAGATATAATGATTCAAAATTGGCATATTTATTTCATATATAACACAGTGGTTATCTAAAACTAAACTTGGCTTTATTCTGACACAAAAATATTGATCCCTGTTCATGAAAGGTATTGTTGCCCTGGTCATGTGTGAGGACAAAAGTAAGCTATATTATGTGCACTTACCATACCAGTAATTTGCTATAGACACATTCTGTCCACGGGGTGTGTAGAAAACTCTTAAAATAAAAAAAATTTTAATGCATGGTTTAAAACATTTAAATTAAAATTGGGATTTTAAAATACTGTTATAATAATCTTTATTTGAGAATCGCAACCCGAAGGTTGAAGTTATACAATTATATATGAATATTCAAGTCAAGGAAGCCTGGTCATTTTTGCACTGGTGCACTCAGTAGACGGTCTCACCTCCCTGGGGAGCATACAGCTCGGCTGCCATATTAGGCGCTCATAGCTAATATATCATTTCTGCACTGCCTGACCAGGCCCCTGCTTCAACCCCTTAGTGCTGAGTGCCAAGCGGGGAGACAGCAGGTACCGTTTATAACCCACGGGTTTTGAACCCACGTCCTCCCGTTCCGGAGACGGACACTCTAACCACAAGGCCATCCTTGACACATGCAATTTTAATAAAAAAAAAAACTATTCTTTGTCGGGTATACCTAATATTTAAAGACTGTGGAAATATTTTGCACACAAAGTCCCTCTCTTAACTCATGAAAGATAAATAAATTTCAAGACTTTTTAATTACCTGTAGATATATTTGCTGCTAATATTTGGAACAAAAGGTTTTACCATGTTAGGTACTGCAATAAATTTAATTTACATTTAATGCAATTTCAAAAAATAAAAATAAATAAATAAAAATAAAAAAATTAAAAACTTCAATGTTGTAATATTTGAACATTTCATATTAACCACATTTACAGTCAATTTTGTTGTCAAGCATATCTAATTCTGGTATAGTTATCAATTCATACACATGATTCTCTCTTCAGAGAAGGCTTGGAATAAAGTAGACATGATGATGTATAATAGAACTAACAACCTATTGGTGAGTGAAAGTGTATTTAGAAAAAAAAAAGATTATGATGAGTAAAAAGTGTATTTAATGTTGATCTTTATTTCGTTCAAGAATGATTACCTCCGTACATTCCTCCTTGGGGAGAGCTGAGGGAAATAAAATTATGGACATTGTGTGAACTTAAAGATTCCAGCACCCCACGACATATAAGGCCTCCTGAAATTAAAAAAATATATATATTTATCAGCATCTAACTGAAAACTTCAAGCACTTTACTTATCACAATTTCTCACTTCATCCAGATTATACTTCTCTTATTTTCTTATTCAGAAATTAAAATATTACTTTTCAAATTATAATGACTAAACTAAACATAAATAGGTGTTTTTCATTTCGAACTTTGGCACACACTTCTCAATATAAGATAAACCCAGGATAACCAAGTACTGAAGCAATAATTTAATTCTTTTTTTTTTAATATGATGTTTTAGAGAATAACAATATCCAGTTTATTATTTAGGATATTCATCACGAAACAAACAAATAAATAACAATGATAAGAAATACATAAAAATTTGAAAACAAAAGAATACCTTGTGAGTAACAAATCATGTGAACCCCCTGCGGATGGGCATCCATAAATTTTTTCATCACGCCAGATATTTGGGTCACCTGTGTCCACATGGGCTGTAAGCTGTCCAGGTCGTTGAAGGCATTCACATTCAGTGTTTCTGTACCAGGGTGGGCCTTTAAATGCATGAAATACAATAGATAGATATGTATTATTATTATTATTATTATTATTATTATTATTATTATTATTATTATTATTATACATACTGATATGATAATTTAATGCTGTTGATTTGTTTTAATTATATCCAGATTGAAACACATGAATCAATGAAGGACATCATCTGCTTTCTTCGTTTTTTTTACTACCTGTGTAATGAAAAATACAGACAATGATTTTAAATTTAAATTGTCACAGTTTTGCTAACTAGAATAATTAATCCTGCTGGCAACTGACAAATGTAACAATTAACATATTTGTCATGAGAGAGAGAGAGAGAGAGAGAGAGAGAGAGAGAGAGAGAGAGAGAGAAAGAGAGAGAGAAAGGGAGACTGGAGAGTTCTCTGGCTCATAAATAAAAACAAAAAATTCTGGTTTGATTTCAAAACTCTAGGTATAAATACTAAGCCTGAATGGAAGATTTTTATCTGCAGGTGGGTGTAAACAGAGAACAACCTGTCATAAATTATACTCTTAAACTGGTTGTAGTTACCCCACAGCTGGAGGATGGACTGAGAGACAGGTTCTGCCCATGCAATCAAGACAAACTTTCAGTTTCTCATCCGATAACAATGACCAATACAACAATTATCGTGTGGTGTCACTTTTCTTACTGGGCAGACAACAGCTGATGTAAATTATTGATATTTCCTTCCATATTAATAATTATGTTTGACACAAATAAATAAATAAATAAATAAATAAATAAATAAATAAATAAATAAATAAATAAATAAATAAAAGCCTCAAAACATAAAAATGTCTTTATGAAAAGATTTTCTTTTCAAAGAATGATTAGTTACAAAGGAATACCAACAATGAAGACTATAATAAATTCAGAGACATGAAGATAACACTACAGCCCCATGTCCAGACACACCAGTGGCTGTACCTAAAACCAGATCATAAAACAATATGTTGTAGGCAACAATTGTCATTCTTTCTAGTGTTAGTCATTTTACTTGTGGAGTATATCTGGTAAAAGTGACATATAATTAGTAGAGATAAGATATAAATATAGTGTTTATAATACCTAACAGCCATGACTCTCCAGAACTTTTATATCCCCTTGCATTTCATCTATCAGCAAACATGATAATGGAGAAACCTGATATGTTGGACATATAAATGATGGAACTGCTAGTGACTAAGTCTGAGGCTGTTAAGATAACTGCACAATTGTGGAAGGAGGGATGGGGGGGGGGGGCAGACAGTTGGAGAATAACATATTTTAATAAGAAAAAATAAATAAAAACACAGCAGCAAAGCTGGCAAGTATACAGACATTAATCTGGCGTTACATAGAAAAAAGTCATTCCATTGGGCAATTTTAATATAAATAGGCAAATATCTGTAAACCATCAAAATAATTAAAAAAAGACCGAATTCTGCAATGTTTACTGCCTTCAAAATATCACTGTTTTTCTTTTTGTACTGAGCCTGTTATATCACTTAGTTTCTGAATCTGAAACATGTGTACAGGGAAAGCTCTAGGAAATATGAAGCAAAACTAAAAAGATGACTTCACTTTTGGGAGAAACATTACAAATATACATACATGGAATGTAAACAAATACAAGTACTTTTATAAAAAATAAACTGCTCAATTAATACATGCTGCTTAAAATTCTTAAAGGAACCTCTGTCTAATCCAAACAATGCCACTCAGCAAATTTGAAATAAGACAAAAGTATGGTTATGCAGTTATAGGGTGAACAACAACTGAGTCAGACAGCGACTGTAATGGCACAGATGACATGAAAAAATAATTAATCAATTAGAGTAGAATCTAATATTATGGGCGGAGCTTAATTACACAAACAAAGGATATATAAAATTCCTTGATAAGATTAACCAATACTTCCTTAATTATGTGGATACTTATATCTTTTTCAAAAGTAATTACATTGCCAAATTTTATTACTGCAGATCAAATATGTTAGTTATACGTCACGTCGTGATAAAATTTTGATCAATAATCTAATATACCGTTATGCGTTAAATCAAGATAATATTAATATCAATGAAAACAATTTATAGAAAAAAGCTTACCTGTTTGATATACTGTTCTATATTATTTAAAGATGTTTGTGATGAAAGAATGCCGTGCATCAAAATCACGGCCCTATAGCTATCGCTCACCCCATACTGGTACATGAAAAGAGTAAAACAAAAGAGAAAACGCCCAGGCATACTGTTGTCTGCTAGTCTCTCTACTGCTACCTCCTAACGTAAAAAATCCACAAGGCAAGCCAACGTCGAAGTCTCTGCCTTTTTGGCGTTTGTATGATTGTCTGTCTGGTATAAAACTAATGCACCGAATTTTATATGTACCGGGAGAGATGAAAGTTTCCACGTGGTTTCTATATCAGATAAAAGCGGTCAGAGTTCAGGCTTCCCAGTTTAGCTGTGGCCTTTCTTGGTGGAAGAACTTAATCAGGTCACGAAACAGTGGGCCCTGATATAGGTCACAGCATACGGAGATGGCTTCCCCAGAGAAAGTGGCACAGGTATTACTGGCAGATTTATGGAAATTACTAATGAAATGTGCTTAATTATTTGTTTCTTGCTATAGCTCAGTTACATGTGAAACGGTAGCCACCATTTGCTTCAGATAAAAATGATCTGTCAAGAATTTTATTGCCATTCGTTATTGGATTGAAAAACTACGCATCGCATCGGGTCGTTTTAAAAGTTATCTTGATCAACTCCAGTCGAACAGCTCTTATCATCTGGAGAATCAATTTACAGCATGTGCAAGTTATGTAAGCCCTCGCACCTGATGCTGGCATGTGCAGCAGTTGTCTGGTATGTGTGCCTAGCACTACTGCCTAGTAAGTGTATAGACACCCCAGTGGTGGCTCTTTAATTAAGTAAATCTGGTCGACCTTGATAGAGGCATGAGCTCCCAGTTAACCTTGGCTTTATCTGATATGTAAGTTTAAACTAGGCCTGTTCAACAAGATATCTTTAAACCTTTTTAGACATGTAAAAAATATGGAAGGCCCCGGATCTGAACAGGAACCTCTGTCTGTGTAACAATTTAGGCTGCTTTGCCCAAAGGAAAATATATAATTAGGACACCTCAGTGAAATTATTTGGCACAGGTAGCAGCTTACTATTAAAGAATAATAAAATGTAAATAAGAAAAGAAAAAAGGGAGGAAGTATAACTTGAGCTAGAGCGTATAAGGCTTCGTTCACATGCAATGTCTATTTTCTAATTTCTTTTTTCTATTTGCGCTATCTTATGATCACGGTCTGTGGCCTGAATATCCTGCCGCATAATTACTGGCAGCGCGAGCCAGTTACTTATAGTAACTTATAGTAACTGGCTCGCGCTGCCAGTAATTACGCCGCGGGATATTCAGGCCACAGACCGTGATCATAAGACATACCGCAAATAGAAAATAGAATTTAGAAAATAGACATTGCATGTGAACGAAGCCTAAGTCTTCCGTCTGCCAAGATGATCTGGGTCCCATTTTACTGATGCCTGTCTGAAGTGAAATAAACGTACAGATTAAGAGGAAATAAATGCCTTTCTGTCTTGACAAAGCTTCAGTTATGCCCTAAATGTTTTTGTATGTTACAGTGCTCTTGCCCCTCTCTGAATTTCAAAGTTTTTCAGTTTGCTAGACCGATTTTGGTCATCCCTCATGGCTTTCATAAGGATTTTATTGTGTCTAGTTGATGACAAAGTGTGAGAATGGTGTAACACTATGTAGATGATCTAGCAGAATTGAATTTACATGAAATTTAAAGCATCAGTACAGGTAATTCTCTGTATCTTGTCACTGTATAGCCAATTATCATTTTTTTCTTTTACAAATCTTTTAGAATAAATTTTGTCTTTGGTATTGCCTAAAATTTATATTAACAGGGTCTAACTGGAATCTTTGTATAAGTTATGTTACAAAAATGTTTGGCTTCCAGTTGTAATGTACAGTATATATGAATATTACTGAATATGTTTTTGTTTATAGTTTTGGGATGAGGGTTATACCATCCTTGAGAACTTCTTGTCAGAGGAAGAATGTGATGCCCTAAAAGCAGAATGCCATGATGTTATTGACAAGATGGATCCCAAGGAACACCACACTGTATTTTCTTGTACAGGTCATGAACAGGTATAAAGTATATAGATTGTGTTGTCAAAGCCTGGCCTTGAGCTATCACAACTAACACAATAAGTTCAGTCTGCTGTGCTAACAGGTAGATTGTGTTGTCACAACAGGTCAGTTCCATTGTGTTTTCACAACTAACACACTAAGTTCAGTCTGCCAACTTCTTTCTTTCTCTTCCCTAAATGCTGGTAGAATTTAAACCAGTTAATGTTTGATAATTTTTTAAAGATACTGGCCTTTATTTCTCTTATGAGTGAGTAAATTCTAAGACTGCTTTCTAGAAAGAAGTTATTTATGCTCATAACTTTTTGGGACATTCTGTAAACATTGCATTTGTCATTTGTATACCCCTAAGCCATCACAGCGCATTCCAAAAAGAAAAAAAAAATAAAATAGATAAATAAATAAAAACAATAGTGCAATATATGAATGAGTAAAAAATGGTGATATCAATGATATTGAATTAAAAGTTGCCCATATGTTTAATTTTTTAGCTAAAAGAAGATTACTTTCTGACAAGTGGAGACAAGGTTAGGTTTTTCTTTGAAAAGGGGGCATTTGATGAGAAAGGTATGCAGTGTTTAACATATAAATAAGCAATATCATTATCTACACAAAATGAAGGATTCAGACTTAAGTAATGCAACTAATATATATATTATAAATGAATAATTAAGTCAGGTAATACTATGCTTCTTTGATTTGAGATATTTTCATTTTTTGCCACATTGATTTTAAATTGATTTTATTATTAATATGTGGTTTACTTTTGATGCAAATTTTATGTATTCTTTAAATAAAAATGAGCACTGGATTTATATCATAATATATTTGTTAAAGGTGAACTTGTAGTGGACAAACAAAAGTCCCTGAACAAGATGGGACATGGTAAGCTTTTTCTGCTTTTTTCATTAAGTTGGAATCACGCTTTCATTGTGCTCTTTTCAGAATTACATTTGTATCTGTTTTTAAGATTAATGTTGTCTTTTTAGAAAAGGTATCATAATTATAGGAACATTGGTTTTCCATATTCATGTCAAACACTTGAATGAATTATGAATATATTGATTAAAGAATGTATTGTGTTAGGTTTGATTTTTATTTAAATTTCAATTTCAGATATTGTATTATGACTCGATATTTCGTATGTTCTTTTAGCCTTGCATGCTCTCTGTCCAACATTTCGAAAGGTCACTTTCAGCGAGAAGATGAGGGTAAGCAGCTTTTTTTGTGAATGTCAAAAAATATGTGTAAATTTCTTTGCATATTTGTTGTTAAAGATTAAGAATGTGTTGAGTATCTTATTAAATCTCATCATCTTTTAACACACAAAAAGGAATAATAACTGGATTTGATACATAGAACACAGAAATTAATACTTTTGTTTTAACAAATTATCCAGGAAGTTGTGAAGAATATAGGATATGAAGATCCAGTGATATGCCAGAGCATGTACATATTCAAGGTGATTTCTTCATTGTATAAACTAGAAGTTTTTCTAAAAGAAGTGTTATGTCTCTGGTCCTTGCTTGGAAATTGCCCAGTTTCAAAGCCCTTTCAGAGTCTCTCTCCTTCACACCAGTAGGTGCTTGCTGGCTCTTTGGCAGTGACAAAGAGATTTTGTAGAGTAGAACTGAGTCACTGCTGGATTCTGAAATTCAAGGTGAAAGTACGAATATAATTTGTTGCTGTTGGTAAATTATAGTTTAGGAGTAAAATGGGTTACTGTCGTAACAGCCAAGTACTCTGAAATTCGGAGTAATTGAAGAACCATATAAGCAGATTTTATAGTACCATTAACAGATGGAGTATTTTGTAAAAAAATAGTAATATTTAACAATTGAGTAAAAAATATGAATTGTTATGAATTGAAATGAAATTTTATTTTTACTTCAGAATCCTGGCATTGGAGGAATAGGTATGTGAAAGTTTGAGAGAAGTGTTTAACAACTTTTATAAAAAACTTTTGTCAAACTATAACATAAAGCTGTTTACCACTTTCAGTATTGAAAATAATATCTCCATGTTTAGTTATATTATTACAAAGAAGTAATATTATTATTATTATTATTATTATTATTATTATTATTATTATTATTAAAAAAGTAATATTGGATATCAGTGCTTAATTTAAGGGCCTGAAAAGTTAAGACTTCATCAAATTATAAACAGCTATGTGTCCAGGTTCTACAAACAACTTGTATCTTATGGTTATATACATTGCATTTTAGTCACTGCACATCAAGACTCCTGGTTTCTAAACACAAAGCCATTGAAACTTATGGGTGTCTGGATTGCTCTGGAAGATGCAACTTTGGAAAATGGTTGCCTGTGGTTCATCCCTGGTTCACATAAAGGTAGTATAGACCAATTAAAATCAAAACAATATTATTCCATACGTGAAGAAATTCATTAGGTCAGTGGGTTGTCTGTGTGTGCGCACGTGCCTGTGTGTGTGTGTGTGTGTGTGCATGTGCATGTATGTGCCAGTGTGTTCATAACATACAGAATTCTTACAAGCTTTGTCATTATGTTTAACTCAACAAAGAAAAAAATCAATCACATTAGAATTTGGTCAACATATGGAAAAGCGTTTCTTTGTAAAATTGATATGATGCTGACCTTGAGATTGTTTTAATATGTCTTTTTTTCTTTAAATGTTCCCCTTTTAAACAATATTTTATTTAATTTTTTCAAACTTTGGTAATGAAGTGAAAGTTTCACTTGGTTATAACTATTAGAATTCTTTTACAAATCACTTACCCACTGAAGTTCTTAAAATTTAATGGATGTAACTTTAAATTTGCTACTGCCTCAAATCTAAAATTACTTTTAAGAATCAAATTTTAACAAGTGCGGTCAATAACTAAAACATTCATAAACAACACCAGTGATACTTGTTTTGTACTCCTTTCTTAGAGGGCATCACTGATAACTACAGGATGATAAGAAATCCAGACAAAGATGGCCCTCCATTGAAGTTCACTGGGGCAGAGCCGAAGTATGATGATAGTAAATTCATTCCAGGGCCTGTCAAAAAAGGTAAATATTTGTATTTTCAGACATATTCAGGTGAGTGGTGTTGATTCCTTCTTTTCACTTTCAAAAATTAGATAAAACTGAGAGTGACTTTTTTCTTTTTAACTCAGAACCAACCAGGTGCAGGTGCCTTTTGCAGTCTTTGTAAGACAAGGTTTCCTCTCTAGAGTGCGTAGTTTTACTAATTAATCAATATTGCAGGGGCAGATCCAGAGATATTTTCTGACAGTCTTCCAAATGATCTTTTTTGACCGTCTTCCAACAGAAAAAAATAAATACTCATCAGTGTAAACTTGAAAATCTGACAGTCTTCCAGAAGACCCAGAAGACGACCTCAATCCATCACTGTATTGTGACTTGAATGTCATGTTAAAGATAAGAAACTTAACAACAGAGTTTCTGTATTTGATAAGGAAATGTCATTCTAGTTTGTACAGATAACAGCAGGAGTTTAAAATAATCCTTTGAGTTCTACTGTACTGTGAACAAATTCCATCTTTTCAACAATTCCTGTTATTAACTTCTTGCATATTTATAACACCTATTTTTTGTTTTACAGGAACTGCTGTGCTCATTCATGGGGAAGTGGTTCACAAGAGTAACCCTAATAATTCAGACAAGTCCCGGGAGATCTACACTTTCCATATATATGACCAGAAAGGAACTGAATATAGCAGCATCAACTGGTACGTTTATCAAAGTTACCTGAATGTTTGGCATATGAAAAGGTTAAATTTGTTTGTCTAAAATTGGCAGTTCTTAAAATTTTTCGAAAAAATTTTTTTCATGCCTCGAGACATGTCAGCTTAACTGTTATCTTTTATTCTGTGAGATTCAATTTTATTTTGCAGATTCTGATGATGTATTATGCAATTCTTTTCGTAATCATTTGAAGTGTGGGAAAAGCTCTAATATTTATAATGTCTGTATTTTTCAGGTTGCAGCCTTCTGAGGAGATGCCTTTTCCACATCTTTACACTTTCAGTTAAACAATTGAAATTTTTCCTAATTAAAGTCATAATTATGACAATCAATCAAACATACCAATTATTATATACCAAAAATGCGACAAGACTGATCATCTCAGAGGCAGGAAGTATTTGTACAATCAGGAAGAATAATTCACAAATTGTCGCACAGGTGCACATAATTTATTATTAAAGTATTAAGCATAGGGAATGCTTTATAATCAGGGTTACGTGTTACACTAGCTTATATTAATATGTATTAAAATTAGAGAAATAAAAAAATATGAATGTTTCACCTGTTTTTTTTTTTTAAACGGAAAATTTATAAGAATGAATATAGAAAATGAAAACGAAATGCCCTCCTAAATACCTGTATATTTTGTAGTGGAAGTGCCCTTTTGTCTGCTAGTTTAAACTATTGAGGCGAGTTCTATGCATTTGCTCTTTATTTGACAAAAAGGGATAAATAATTGTACTCATCTGCAATAACATAGTGAGCAAAGAGTAGGTGCATGCCTTAATTTATAATTATTCCTTATGGTTGATTAGTTTCACTTATTATGTAAGTCTTGTATTTTTTAATATTTTTTAAATTGTAAGCTTTATGAAGAGGAACAGTGGTAGTATAAATTTACTAAAAGGCAGCTGTTGATTTTATGTAATTGTACTCATTAACATTTGGATTACTGAAAAAAAAGTTATTTATCTTGCTGAATTACTTGTTTTTGGAGTTTACAGCTTGTCTTTTTTTTTGTTTTTATGAATATTTTTCTCTGTCTGGTGAAGGTATTTGCTAGGAGGTTAGGAATTGAAATTTTTAATGGCTAAAATGTATGCGGAAATGTACAATAATGTATGCTAATTTTTATACAAGAAAATGAACATTGTGAAATACAATTTACTTTATGATAGAAATTGTTCACATGCATGTATTAAAGCAAATAAACAGTTATCATAAATTAAACAATACCATTTTATTTTCATAATGAGCATCACATATACATGGATCATGCAAAAACTTTACAATATGTACACAATCACAAGTTGACTGCAGCAAGATGCATCAACATAATATACACAATTACACAGTGGTGAAAAAACTTGGGCATCGCAAACATTCTCTTTAAAACTGAAAGGCATAAGGAAATTACGGTAAACTTATAAATGAAGATGCCTATAATGTATGCATCTTGACAGATATGTATATCACAAGCAGTTTTCTGTTGCACCATAAGGTAATAGGAGAGATTGTTTTAAATTGATTGAAAAGTATAAAATTGGGAACATGCACTTTCATTTCAATTGATAAATTCCAGGTTATCAGTAAATCATTGAAGCATTATCCGTTAAAATATACGAGAGGATTCAATTTAATAAGAAATAAAATGAATGAATTAGTTGCTTGTAGCTGTTGGTAAAGTATATCTTGAAAAAAGTGTCTTTTTAACAAGAAATACTAGTTTGAAGTTCTTACCTGCCACGTAGTTCATATATATATATATTTAGCTAATTATGCATTTTAACACCATTGTGTACAAGATAAAACAGTAACAGTTAAAACACTATAATCATGTATTGTTCATCCTTAAATTATGTGACCTTTGCACATCACATGATCATCACATGACTTAAAAGATGTACATGTACAACAAGAATTGTGAATGAGAATTAAAACAACAAACTTATCACATGCATATTATCATATATTGAAGAGGTGACCATAATATTACATTTTTATCTCGTATAAAATTGGCAAAATGCATGAATCCTTAATTAATGCAGTTTGCCATTATTTGTTTCAATAAATATATTAACACGCTATCTTTATATCGCTACACCATAAATTTCTATGTATCAAACAAACAACAATTCATTTGACATTTGGGAACAGATTGTGCTTCATAAATGGTGGCATTGCTTTAGGTGAGTTCTAGAGCACTTCCAAATGGCCTTTTTACTATAAAAGTGAACAAATCTAAATCCGTATGCATATCCAGTCTCAACTCTTAAAGTTTGTCAAAAGGTAATAAATGAATAAATAAATAAATAATTAAATAAAAACTCATCCCCTCAATTGCTTCCCACATTATCCTGGTTATAATCTACAACGCTCATGTCTGGACCAGTTCAAGACGCAATATTTTACAAACATTTACATTTGATACCCACTACAATATTCTTATGAAGGATTTTGCATGTTAGTTCTATAGAGTTGTAATGCACGAAACTTGGACGTCTTTCATGTTAACATTTTTGATAACCTCTGACATCATGTGCCTTGGTTTACACACATAAAACTGTGATCCCCCCCTCCCCCAAGTTCCTTCCATTATTATCATTAGCATTAACATCACACACATTCTGATCTAAATATTGAGTTTTAACAAGCATTCGGGTATTAAATTGATCAGAATTTACGATGGCTGACCGAGGTATAGTGATAGTAAGGCAAATCACAACCAGTCTTCAATTCAGCATGTTTACATACTGTGACTATTAATGGAAGATTCCTTTCAGCAGTATTTAAAGATGTACAGAGATTGTGATAACATTAAATGTGTTCTCAAGCAGTAAACTATTGCACAATACTGATAAGATGTCTATTTTTTATGTCTACATGACAGGTTATCAACCAACCACTTTGTCTTTCCTGTCAGTTTAATAAAGATTTTTATATACCGGTA